AATGAGATCGTTAGGTCGAGAAAGTGGACTACGAGTTGAGAACTATTTTCGTCTTTGTTTCTGAGAACGTTCACTTAGTCATGCGTTGCAAAAATTTGGCGCGCAGAATCAGAGAAATCGATGAAGCGCCGCTGCATGTTAATAATAAAGATAAAGCTTTTTTTCTACAAGAATATTGACTTTTGTGTGGTAGAGGGTACAGTAAAAACTCAGGACATGAGAGAATGACCGAATCCAACGGAAGATATCAAATAATTTACTCGTTTCGCATCTATGATTTGCGCGCGCACGGATTGATAATTAAATTCTTTTGAAAGTTCTAGCGCACTTAGAATTGCTTGCTTTTCTTTTCTGTTTTGACGATGTTTATACGTTTTTAATTTCTAAAGATAGCTGAGCATAAAAACGAATCCCTTTCCTTAGGTGCGATAAATGCTCAAAACTTTGCTCGTGATATTTTGAGTCGATCAAGGTCAGTGCTTTCTATTCATCGACACCTCAAGTGTCCTTAAGATCTATAGCGTATCTAAAAGCTACTTGCATGCTTGGATTGATCCCTACTGGAGTTCCGCAAGGAAGCTTAATAAGAGCTTTGTGCGAGTTTATGCATCAGTATAGCCTTTTCGTTCTCAGCCACTGAGGCTGAGCATCTTATTAGTAAATCAAACTTAGGCCGATGTCAAACTTATATACTATCCAATTTTAGTATAAACAATACTAATGGTCTATCACTCATACTGCGCTGTGATTGGCTACTCTACTAATGGTCTAATTTGTGATAGACCACTCGCGGGAAAATCAAAATAAATAAATTATAAATTATTTTAATGATATTTCAATTTGTTTTCATTATTTGACCGATTAGTATGACTCGGCCTCATGGGCTATTAGCTCGTAGTCCACTCGACCTCGAGGTCTAATTGTTAAATATTGCAATGCAATATAACAATAATACACGTGTCGACGCTTGCTGTATCCAAATAAAATATATTTGACATGAGTATGCATCTGGGCTCATGTGGACGGCTGCGTCATCGACAGACATGCGTCACCAGTCGTACTCGTATAAGAAAGCTTTCAAAATGATTTTTTTGTTAATTTTTATTGTTATTCAGCCCGTTTTAAGAGGTTATGATTAGTCGGTGTGGCAGTTTGAAATCAAACTAGACGATCGTAGATCGCTTATGTAGATCGTAGACTCGCTTCCTGTGACTGCGACATTAGTCAGCTGCCGCCATTAAGATATGAGTATTTCATTTTCACGATAGAGTCTTTGTTTGTAATAGTTCAAGACAGAATTAAGTCAATATAGACTAAGTAATTTACATCTTTATTACATGTTCTTAATTTTTCACCGAAATATACTAAATACTACTACAGCCTTTGGTTTTGTCATATTATTTACATTCATGGCTTATAAACAAACCAAATGGTCAAAGTGAAGCCGTAGATATCGCGATCATGACACGAGGCCGACTGACCTACGAAATAATACATGTCAAAAATGAAAACAAAGCGGATTGATTTAGTTTGACATCCCCATGGAAACCGAGACTGCAGACCATCGGCAACGGAGGCGTTACCAATATGGAGCCAAATATTCACGACGACGCCGACGACGGGGAAAATTCCACTGGTATTTTAAGACGTGAGCTTCCACAGGAAGCCCACTAAGTAGACTACTAGTACTTGTTAAATACAAATAAGTTATACCTCTAGAAGTTTGTGCAATGAAAGAGCAACTTTATAAGAATCTTAACTTTGGTAAATTTGGTACAGTTCGTTCAGTTGGACGAACTCAAACTGTACAAGAATATCTTACGAATTTTTTTACCTTGATTCTTGAACTTCCGATAAATATTTCCTACTCAAATACCAAGAAAATGCTCTAGATAGCAATTTTTTTTTGTCGATAAAACTATGACCAACGATGATGCATCCAATGGCAAACTCGCCTTAATTATCCGCTTCAAAAAAATCATCACCTTATCATTATTTATTTCAAACTCAAATTTCAATTTTCAAATTTCGATTCTTTGTTTTTAAATCTCTTTCAATCGAGTTCTTCTGGCATGGTCTTTGTTTCAAAATGTCCATAAGTTCTCGGCAAAACAATTCACACAGATTGTTGCTTTTTACAATATTTTTGCAGTATTTTCAATATATTATCATCTTTTTCTTGTTGTCGAAATATCAAAGCTAAAAGTCATCCTTTTACTCCTAGACTCAAAGCGCTTGGGCAAAAGTGAATTGCTTTTTATCTTCACAAATCGATTTCCCGGATGTGCAGACGCGTCGTACTTATGAAAAAAATTGGCGGGAATATTTCTGTGCTTTGATTCGCTCTCCTCTGGATTTTTTTCTTGTGATTACTTTTTTTGATATTATAAATTTGAAAGATGTGTTTGAGGACAAAATTTCGATGTTTGAAGAAATATCCGACGAAGGATTAACGTCCGAAACGTCAGTAAGTTATTTCACATACTTTTTTACGGTGTTAAATTTATCTTTTTACATAACTGTTTCTTTAGAAACACCGACGTAGCTCACACTAGTTTACCGCTAGTTCCCACCATTTTCCTCTACAAAATTCTAAACTTAATAAATTGCTTCCCATTGAAGTCCTTAACATAGAGCTGGTATATCACTCTGAAACCACGAAAACTCCTTTTGAACGGCGATAGAACGATTAACAATGCATTTCGCTCATTGATTACACTATACACTATACACTATATATAGCTATTTCAAAAAAGGTTGTCGGATAAAATGGCGATTGTCAATGGTCGAACGGCGATTGCACGACCGAAAGCAGTCATGGGTTTTTGTAATTGAAAAGCCATAACAACTGATTTATGCTGTAAGATAGTCTGTGGTAAATATTGGCTCCATTTAGTCTCCATTTCTATGCAAGTTGAATCCAATAAGTGAAATTTTGTTGATCAAAACAGTGTAACCATAGTCCCTTTCCGGTCGTACAATGTACCTTCGACAATCACCGTTCGCCGCTCTCCCCGACAACGTTTTTTGAAATAGCTGTATCTTCAGTATTCGACGTTTTCTGAATTACTGAATGCAAAACAAGTAAAGACTGCTGATGGGACAAGGTGTTTATTGTGTTAATATTATTTATATTGATTTCATTAAATTTGTTTTTTTTTTGATTGCTATTAATCTGGCATCTTCTAGGATTTTTTTGCGGGTAACAACATCAGTCTGAAAGCAAAAAAGAACGTAATACGTTAATACCCGTCGTATAAAGGTTTAGGGGACTCCGCTGACAATTATTTCAATGCATCAGTCGACATTACTCCCTTTTACAGTTTTACCAGTGCCATCTTGAAAAGTAACCGAGGCTTCGCATCAAAATAAGGTAGAAGTTGAGCTTGCGCGCATTGATATAATAGCCGACTTGCGAATTACGCATCAATAGTCACATACAAAGGAATCAAGACGAGGCGCCGTGCTTTTTTGTGAAAAATCTATTGTCTTTAGCACGGCGCCTCGTCTTGATTCCTTTGTATGTGACTATTGATGCGTAATTCGCAAGTCGGCTATTATATCAATGCGCGCAAGCTCAACTTCTACCTTATTTTGATGCGAAGCCTCGGTTACTTTTCAAGATGGCACTGGTAAAACTGTAAAAGGGAGTAATGTCGACTGATGCATTGAAATAATTGTCAGCGGAGTCCCCTAAACCTTTATACGACGGGTATTAACGTATTACGTTCTTTTTTGCTTTCAGACTGATGTTGTTACCCGCAAAAAAATCCTAGAAGATGCCAGATTAATAGCAANATTGATTTCATTAAATTTGTTTTTTTAATTGCTATTAATCTGGCATCTTCTAGGATTTTTTTGCGGGTAACAACATCAGTCTGAAAGCAAAAAAGAACGTAATACGTTAATACCCGTCGTATAAAGGTTTAGGGGACTCCGCTGACAATTATTTCAATGCATCAGTCGACATTACTCCCTTTTACAGTTTTACCAGTGCCATCTTGAAAAGTAACCGAGGCTTCGCATCAAAATAAGGTAGGAGTTGAGCTTGCGCGCATTGATATAATTGTGAATAATTGTCGGCAGATATCTATCACTGCAGGCTCAACTCCTGTCTCGATTTTGATTCCTGATGAAGGCTCGGCTACCTTTCCAGATGGCGATGGTACTAATACCATAGAGTATTGAAGGCCAGTCAAATCAATTCAGCTAAGTGCTGCATAAGCTCTACTGGGCCGGGTTGTTCAAAGCCCGATTAGCGTTAATCCAGGGTTAACTCCATAGGTTTTCTGAAAGTTAACCCAGRATTAGCGCTATTCGGGCTTTGAACAACCCGGCCCTGCAATTATGATGAGAAATCGAGTCCACACACAAGCAGTTTTGAGACTTTTAAGTCTTAAAAGTTTCTCTGTTGTTGTGGGCTAATATGTCCGCGTGAAAACCACAAAGAACAAAAATAGGGTCCCTGCTCAGTCTATCAAATTGTTTTGCTTTCATCCCTTACGAGTGTCGATAGGATAAGRCAAATACAAATAGCCTTCCAACATTGAACAGGCGGCTGGGCGCACGATATTYTAGCGAATGGGTGTCATGTTGTCAAATTGTAACTTTGTTACAGTAACACTTTGCAATGTCTCACGTAAAATGTCTAGGATTGTAGGTACTTTCAATGACGTAGTTATTACCTCGATAAGGCCAAGGAACGTTCACAGTCTTGCGCGTGTCTCCGTTAACGTTGGCTGCTACGCAAACGTAATCCAGTCTTGCGTTGTGTGGAGTGACATTCGATAAAACAAGGCGAGTACCAACGAGCTTCCCAGAGTCATTTCGAATCTCTTCATACTTTGGCTTGCCAAGAAAGTCCACTTAAAAAAAATTAAGAAAGCGATAATAAGATTATACGTACATATWATARTATGATGAATGATATCATTAAAAATCATGCACAGATTTTATTTAGAAAGGGGCTACACARGGTTCCCGTGACCACTTTCTAAGCCAAAAAAATCCTAATCATAACCGCAAACCACTACGAGGAGTTGTATSAACTGTTGGATCGCCGTACGAAAAAATATCCAAAGCCTTAAAACCCATCCTAAAATCACTTCAAGGACGTAGTGGCCAGTGTATGTCAAGAATTCACAAGAATTGAAAGAGAGAGTAAAGAAATGGAGGATTGAGAGGGACGAAACCATAGTAAACTACGATGTTGTAAATCTATACCCATCAATCCCGATTCAGAAAGCACTAACTCTAGTACACGAAATACTATCTTCAAAGAACGACCTCATAAATACAACGACTTGGAGTATACAGTCCATCATGAAACTCCTGAACTGGACATTCTCGCTGTTTTACTGTGAGTACAACAACGATCACTACATACTTGATAGTGGACCTTTYGGCCTAAGAACGACAGGTGAAATCGCAATTATATTCTGCGAAGACCTACAACTGAGAGCACAGACTCCACGTTTCCCTGCCCTTAAAGATTGTCCGTGGTATGTAGATGACTCAGAGTTAAAGTGCAAAAAAGACGACGTGAATGACATAYTAGCCCACATTAACAGTATGGAACCGGGAATAATCAAGTTCACCGTCGAGGAAGCTGAAAACGACACATTGTCAGTACTCGATCTGAAACAACATATTAACAGAAAAACGAAGCGCATCGAATTCGACGTTCATTACAAGAAAACGAACACTAACATCAACATCAAAAAGAAATCTAACCATCCACCTCACATCAAAAAAAATAAATCTAACCATCCACCGCACATCATCAAAAAGAAATCTAACCATCCACCGCACATCATCAAAAAGAAATCTAACCATCCACCTCACATCAAAAAAAATAAATCTAACCATCCACCGCACATCAAAAGAGCCGTCATTAAACGATTCGCAGAAAGAGCAAGAAACCTGTGCAACAAAGACAGAGTAGTAGCCGAACTGGAAAACATCGAAGAGGTATTCGTAGCAAATGGGTACACACAAGAGGAAATCAAGGAAACGATACACCAAACGAAAAAAGACACCCAAACGAAAACAAATGACACAACAGAGAACCAGAGAGAGACATACTTTGTACCATACATCAATGGACTATCACACCAATTCAAACGTGTAGCATCAAAATACGACTTTAGAATATCTAAAAATAAATGAGTCCTCTGCGACTTTAGAATAGCCATGAAACCAGGGGACAAAGTAAAAGATCCAAGAACAAAGGCCCGACAACCACTTGGAGACAAGAGGTCGAACGTAGTCTATAAAATTCCGTGCTGTTGCGAAAAACACGAATACATAGGAGAGACTGGAARAAAATGGGAGACAAGGAAGAAAGAACATGAAAGCAAGGTTAGACTAACAAGAAAGGACATCGCTGAAGATAGAATCGAAMAAGCTGAAAGGAGAATGAACACCGGAGATGGAGGACTTGCAAAACATGACCAGATATGCCCACATAACATACAATGGGACAAGTGCAAGATAATAAACCAGGAGACCAACACCGACAAAAGAAAATACCTGGAGTCCCTGGAGAGCGTGAAAGCTCAAAACAACAAAAAGACCCTACTTAATATTCATGCGGAYATTGATTTTTGGAAGCCACTAATAACSAAGATTCAATCAAAATCCTGAGGATGACGATCAGAATGGCGTCGAAACGTCGAGAAGAAACAGAAATATGTGAGTCAGACAGCCCAATAACACAACAAAATAGTAAGTTCACTTCATCTATTGGTGCAGTTTCGGCCTCCAGAGGCAACTATTTTTTCCTCCTTCGGGCTTCGTTTGTATTAGTCATCTTGACAGTTAGCGACTAGTGATGGGAAAGGAAAAATATGAAGAGGAGGAGTTGGCATCGCGCATCTTCCCTCTCTCGCTCTAACTCTCCCTGTTCTGGCTCCCCCAAAAGACAGAAAGCCTGTGACTCTTAGTGATGCCTGTGGAGAAGGCCACTGTTGGTGCTATTTCGTCCTTTTTTTGAATCCGCTGTTTCATTTGGGCATTTTGTTTTTTTGATTTCGTGCGTTTACCTGGTATATTAYMCTTGTTGATGATCTTCCATTGTACAGACACAAGTTTGTAGTTGTTGTCTTTGATATTGCACTCTAATGTATCTTTATCTTCGTTAGGTCTCCATTTTTTTGGTTTCTTGACTGAAGTGATTTCTAGCAAACCTTTAGAAAAATATCATGAAGTTACTCTTAGAGTACAAACACTAAAACTGTGCAACATAAATACCACTAAATACTGCTAAATTGTGATAATTCTATTGTTTTCTATTGTTTAATTAACACTATTTTGTAGTAAATAGTGGAAAGGGTTGCACACATTTAATGTTTGTACTCTATTTAACTGCAATCTAACTGGTCAGCGAGAATGGAAAAAAGTTTGAGCGCGCTTCAATACTATCTTTTTATCGTAAGTTATTTTTAAACAATCGTATATTCAAAATAGTATCAAGGACATTTAGTGTATTAAGTCAGCAAGCTAACTTATGCGAACAATA